TACAATTCCCAATGAGAAATGTAATTGTGTTGTATACCTACAATGTACCAATAAAAGAATACAAAAAAAAAAAAAAAAGACATGTCTGCCTGCTACTCACCACTACTCTCATTTAGGGGGAGAAGCTGGCCTGATGTTTCATGGTTGTCTTTGGCTCAGATTTTCCCTACCAGATTACCATGCCAAAGACAAACAGCATGACTCACCTTATTGCCTCACCCTAAACCTGCCTTGAGAGAATCCTAGCTTTTCACCATTCCCTTAAATATTGTGCCGATCTGTTATGGGTTATACCAAGATGTTCCCCCAAAGCCTCATTCACTCTTGGTGAGGCTTTTGGGATGTGGCTGTATCATGGGTGTGTGACACTGGATTATAAGTGTGTGACAACTGGATTAGGTGACTGGCTGGTTTAGCATAGTTCTGGGTGTGGATGATGGGAAGGGCCACCCCGAGTGTGGGTGGCACCAACCAATGGGCTCATAGCCTGAATGGAATAAAAAGAAAAGGAAGGCTCACTGCACACTGCCTCCTGTCTACCCTCCCATGGACTGTTACTCCCCTGCCATTCCCCTCTGCCATGCTGCCTGCCATGCATTTGGAACCAGTCAATGGTGGGCTGAAACCTAATTTATGAGTGTTGGGTATTTTGTCTCACCAATGAGAAAGTAACTAATTTAACAGAATCTAAGGTATAAAAAAATTCCCCAATTACATTATTTTCTGGATCTCTTCTTGTATCTACTGATGAAATCTTTTCAGGAACTGTGGTCTGCACAAAGGTTTTATGAGGATCTAAAAATAGAAATAAGTGATATTATTTTGGTAAGTGTGGTCTACTTATGCACTTGTCTCTCTAGGTTAGCAGCTATTTTAAAATAAACTACACATCCTTCCTTTATACTGTCTTTTTAGCCATTCTTATCTACAAATTTCTGAACTCTTATCAATATCTGTTTGTATTCTCTCTCTGTCTCTCTCTCTCTCTCTCTCTCTCTCACACACACACACACACACACACACACACACAAAATCAGCAGTTCAACAGCTCAATAAAGTTAACATCAAGTACCAAATAACAGTGCTGTCAAAGACAAAGAAGTGTGAAAACACATATTCATCAGGAAAGCAAGATCATTTTCGGGAAAGAATATAGAATATTAGATATACAATTTTCAGTAGAGCAAGGAAAGGATAGCAGTTGCCAAACCAGGAAATCGTTGATAAATAGCTTATTTGTGGTGATGCAATTATTCCTAGGGTGGCAGAATTTTATATGCGGGAGGGGTGAATGTAGGTTTCATATTTGTCCTTTTACAGATAAGAAAACTCCCTGGAGAAGTGCAAAGATGCTCTGACAGAGGTGCCTCTTTGTCTTTCTGGCGGAGGAAGGGACTAAAAGCAGCAAGTGTGAGCATGGGCCCAGGGGAAAGTCTGCGCCCTGGGCTGGAATGGGAAGGGACACGCCCCCTGGGAAAACAAGGACAGCCCCAACGCCTAGACTATGCGAAGGAACCAAGTCTGGACTTACTATGGCCTGCGTACAGCCCCCCAACTCCAGTGAGAAGCACTACAAGGAGGAACATGGCTCCGCTGTCCTGGAGCCGCTGAGAACAGCAGTTGAACGTTGAGAAGGATGAGGGCGTGGCCAGTGCGTGCAGAGGAAGGTCTGGGTGCTGCCTGTCTGAACAGGCAACACTCGACCATCGTTATGGAAGACACAATGCTCCCTTGAGCTTCTCAGGTTACCGTGATGCCTGGTGAGAATTCGAGGGTTGGGGGGGGGAGGTGAGTGTGTGTATCTTTTACTAAGACTTCTGTTTTGGGAATTAATTTCTAGAAAATAAACAAATATGTAAATGTTCAAATTACTGATCATAACCATGTTTCCTCCCATCACATTCACGTACTCTACAAGCAAGATTGAGCTAGGACCAGGCAAAATGCATGTTTGCAACAACAACAAAAAATATCGTAAAAGGTGTGACTTTCAATTTCATGGTTGGAAAAATAACATAATAAAATAACATCTGCTCAAATACAGACTTACAAAAATCTTCTGCAATATCCCAAGCTACTATTGCTACACTCTAATCCTGCAGTCCCTCATTTTTACTTTAATTGAGACTTTTTAAATTCTGCCTTTACTAGAAGCAGAAACAGTTTTATTTCTTGAAGGTCATATGTGCTCCTTCCTTGCAAATCCTAGCCCACGTCATAAGTACATTAAAATAAAGCTGCACTCACACATTTTGTATAATTTTGCTGTAAAAATAATGCAGAAAGTGTGTTCATAAGTTCATTTTGAAATGATTTTACCATTATGCCAACAACTACGGGGAGTTATTAGCAGAATAGCAATAGCAAAGCATCTTCAAAATGAACCAGGGACCAAGAAAAAAATTCAGAGGAGAGAATAAACAGAATAGATAGGGTTGCTTAATGAATTAGTAGTTATGAGTATCATGTTAACAAATATCCCAGGAAGGGACAAGGGAAAATAGAATAGAGATATAAAAATAAAATTAAGAGTTAAGAAAAAGAAATATGGTTATCAATATCTAGATACATAACAGCTTTTCAGAAGAGAGAAAAAGAAAAATAGGAGGAAATACTTAAAGGCATAATGAGGAATTTTTTTGTAGATTTATAACTGAAATGATAAAATAACCTCAAATCAGATTTCCAGACAATAATACCATGATGAGAGGAATGGAGAACAGAGATAACAAAATAATATTTTTTCTCAATTTGAAAAAGTTTAAGCTTGTATTTTATTACTAGGGTTACAAAAATATCAACAAAATTGACAAAAATATAGAAAATATTTTTAAAAAGTTGACAGAAGTATCATCAGAATTGGAGATATAAGCATACCTCTTATGACTATTGGTAAATCAAACAGACAAAAAAATTTTAAATTTTTATCAGGGCAAGTTTCCAGAACATAATGATTATATTCATTGCAGGGAATTGGTACATGTACATAACACATCTCAGTTCTTTTCTTTTTCTTTTCATATTCCCTTCACCAACCTTTTATTTTACCCACATCACATTCATTCATTTATCTTAGAAAGTTAATTATATATACAGATTTTTACTAATAGGCTAAAAAATATATAAATCACATAGGACAATGGTATTAAATCCAGATACATATTTAGATACATTGTCCATGCTGGATTACAATAATTTTTTTCATGTCTTATTTTGCCCTTTATCTATATATTTTTTCATATAGGAGAAACCATGCAATATTTAAGTTGTTTGTCTGATTTACTCCACTTAACATTATGGTCTCAAGGTGCATCCATTTTCCTACAAATGACTCAAATTTATCCTTCTTTACAGCAGAGTACTACTTACTTGTGTATAAATACAATATTTTATTTACCTGTTCTTCTGTTGATAAGCATCTTGTTGCCCAAGATTTGGCTATTATGAATTGTGCCACTATAAATGTGGGTATGCATACAGCACTGTAGTATGATGTTTTTAAATTTTTTGGAAAGATACTTAGAAGAAAAAGATCTGAGTCAAATGGAATCTCCGTACGTATTTTCATAGTGGTTGTATCCGTTTATACTCCCATCAACAATGGAAAAGTGTTCCTTTCTCCCCACAGCTTTGCCAGCATTTATTATTGGTTGATTTAGTGATGATAGCTATTCTTTCTGGAGTGAGATAGAATCTTGGTATAGTTTTAATTTGCATTTCTCTAATGGTCATCAATATTGAACACTTTTTCATGTATTATTAGCCATTTGTATTTCTTCAACTGGGAAGTGTCTATTCATTTCAGATACTAGTTGGGGATTTAGTTCAGTGGTGCTGCCGCCTACCTCATTTCAGATGCTCATTTTTTAAATGGGTCTTTAAATCTAGGGAGTCTAAATTTAGAATTCATTCTATATTTGAGATATTAGTCCTATGTCTGGGGAGTAGCTGGCAAAATTTTTTTCCTGTTATGTAGGTTGTTTCTTCACTCTGTTGGTGTTTTCCATTGCTGTGAAGAAGCTTTATAATTTGATGTGGTACCATTTGTTGATTCCTGATATTATTTCTTCTGCAACCAGGGTTTTGTTCATAGTCTTTGCCTGCACCTATGTCTTCAAGAGTTTTACCTGTTTTGTCTTCCAGAAGACTGTTGCTGATCCAATGTTTGGACTTTTAATCCATTTTAATTTTGGTTTAGTTCATGGTGAACAATGTGGGTCTAAGTTCAACCTTGACCACATGGCTAGTCCGTTTTCCCAGCACCATTTGTTAAGGAAGCTATCTTTCCTCCAAAGAAGAGATTTGGCCCCTTTGTCAAAAATAGTGTAACTGGGTATGAACTGAAGTTTATGTATCTTCTATTCTGTTGCACTGATTCACTAGTTTGTTTTTTGTTTGTTTTTTTGTTTTGTTTTGCCAATACCAAGGTGTTTTTATCACTGTAGCTTTGTAGAATAACTTCATGCCCCCTGCCTTCCCTTTTTGCCCAGAATTGCTTTTGCTGTGTTGTACCGCCATTATCATATGATTATAGAAGCTGTCTAATTTCTTCTTTAATTTCATCTGTGACCCACTCATCAATCAATAGGGTGTTATTTAATTTCCATACATTGTATCTTTTGCTATTGATTTCTAGTTCATTGCACTATGATCCAATAAGATGCATGGGATAATTTAGATTCTTTTGCATTTATTTAAGCATGCTCCATGGGTTAGTATGTGGTCTATGTTGGAGAAAGTCCCACATGCTGCTGAGAACAATGTGGATTCTGTTGATGTTGGATGGAACACTCTGTAGATATTTATTAAGTCCATTTGTTCAAGGGTTTGAGTCTACTGTGATGTTCCTTTGTTGATATTTTGTCCAGTTGATCTGTCCATTTGTGACAGTGGGGTACTGAGGTTCCCCATTACTATTGTATTGGCATTTCACTGATTTTTCATGTCCATTAGTGTTCGCTTAATGAAGTTGGGTGTGCTGGTATTTGTTACATACAAGTTTATAATTGTTAACTCTTCCTTAACCAATATATAGTGAACTTCTTTGTCTCTCTAATCAGTCTGGGATTGAAATCCACTTTATCTGAAAGTAGGATAGCAACTCCTGATTTTTTCTTGAGTTCCTATTGCTTAGGATATAGTTTTCCAACCTTTGATTGTTTTAATCTGTGAGTTTCTTTTTGAATAAAATATGTTTCTCTATTCTGAATGTTGTTAGCTTTTCTTTCTTTTTTTAAATTTTTCCCATTAAGTTTATTGGTACATTTTTGATATAAAATACAGTTACATTCATCATTGGGATCTTGTACCATTACATGAGTCTCTTGATTCTTATTTTTTTTCCCCTTCCCTTGCCCTCCCTTCACCCCCTCCACCTTCCATATTTGCAAAGACCTTATTTCCATTTTTTTCC